GGTCGTAGAAGGGTCTGTAGACCATCCCACCCCCTAAATTCATATATATATTTTTCACTTTTGGATTTGCATTGATTTACAGGTGGGACTGCCTCGTGCCTCCAGATGGACTTCCAGATCTGTCGCATCTGGCCATTCCATTTGACACCATCGAGGAGGCAGACAAGTACTTCCAGAAACCCGGGAACATGGTTGCTCACCTGGAAAGCTTACCTTCTCCCAGAGTTATCAAGACACATTTGCCAATTTCACTTCTACCTCCTGAAGCCAGAAAAAATAAGGCATGTAGATCGTGTAGTCGTTGTTATACTTTTCTAAACGAGGATTAAGCAATGTCGACAATGCTATGACTACTATTAATTAGGACTTTAATTTTATTTTCAGCCAAACTTTGAAGCATTTCCTCCATCTATGTATTCATTTGACAATAGATGGTCAATATGAGAAAATTAACTTGAATAATTTTCTCCAAGTTCTTGAGTTGAGTTTGTGATTTAAGTAACAATTCTTCATCTTCAATTTTGTAGATAATTCTCGGTCTTATTTCCAGATGATCTACGTGTCGAGGAATCCGAAAGACTCTTGGGTATCGTACTACCATCTGAGTCGCAGTTTCCAGAATTTCACAGGAACGATGGATGACTTTATGGAACAACACATCCAAGAAATCGGTGAGAAGCCCTTCATAGACCTTCAGAAAGAAGTTCAGAATAAACCTTATTTCTCGACAAGGGAGCTTCGCATGGAGATTTGTCATTATTCGCATCAGGGTATATTGCAATATTTCCAAAGATCTGAATATCCTAATAAATAAAAAAACACTAGGACACACCTGATTTTGCTTCATGTGTGTTCATCTTGCTAATTACTAGTATTTCTTAATTTAAAATGTGAGGAAACTTGTTGCTTTAATATTTTAATTTATTGTTGGGCGATTGCTTTAAAAATAAGGTTCTATAAAATCCAATGTAACCTTTGTTCAAGTCCATTATACCATTTTTTAAATACAGAATTTGGATTGTCATGAGCTTGCGTCTAGCAAAGGCTGCCTTCTATATTTTAGTCACATTTTAGGTTTTCTTTGGCGTATTCTATGATCAGGAATTAACGTCATCTCGGTTGCACAGGCATGTGGGGTCCGCATTGGAAACATGTTCGGGAACACTTGGAAATGAGGAATGAGCCAAATGTCTGCTTCCTCACTTTCGAATCCCTGAAAAAGGTTTGTATTACAGGATTAGCGTTTTCCTCTCAACTTTAAATTGCGTATTGTTGCGGGTATTTACAATTTTCCGCTTTTAGTAATCAAGAGAAAAGATTTCAGATTCAATTTTATTTACCAAGTGCTTTTACTATCGGAATATTGAAAGCCGAAGAAGCGTGGTACGCTCATCGTGTTGATGACAACGAATCCCTACCGACAGAACACGATCGAGGAGATCAAGAAAATAGCCCTGTTCCTGGGGAAGGACCTGACTCAGGAACAGGTGAAGGCCGTGAAGGAAGAGGCTTCGATCGAGCGTATGAGGGAAAAGGCGCCCGTGACTGGAGATTACAGGTGGAAAAACCTGCATAATGAAGATTTGACAAAACCTTTCGTACGTGACGGGAAAGTTGGCGGCTGGCGGAATGAACTCACCCAGGAACAAATAGAAAAGATCGACAAATACATCAAGGACTACTTCCAAGATATCGGACTGTTCGAAACCCACTCATGATCTGATAAGGCCTCACCTGCAGTCGATTTCGTGGAGAATGTGGACAAGCGAGAATCTAACTTCAACAGAGCTTCCCTTTTCAATATATTTCTCATACGTGTCATTTTAGATGAGTTCATAATATATTTGCGTGAACTCTGTGAGAAGACAACGTTTCTCTCAAGATATTTCGGACCATTTTATATCTACAGGAAAGATCAGTTCACTCGTCTTATACCGCCTAAATTAGTTGAATATATATATTTTTTAAATCGAAATCAAAGTTGTGCTTCACAATCCTAGCCGATTTGTGCTCCCAAATTCAAAGCTTTCAATCGCACGAAAGCGATTTCCAGAGTTGCTAAATTACTGCACAGGGTGATCGGAATAGATGCATGTAGTAATGTGAAAACCAATTTCCAAGGGCTTTTCCCTTTCTTCAACTACCCCCACCCCCCTCCCACCTCTCCATGGGGACTCAATAACGTTAGGTCTAGGCCTAACCAACAGACTGCCTTCAGGTCACGCCAAGGCCTACCTTTTTCTTTTCAAAAGGAATTTAATTCTCGACTTACTGCACCAATTAGGCCTATAAGGGTGAATCTTGGTCTTCCAGACATCTGGTTGAGGACGTGTAACGTTAGATCAGTGGTGTCAAACTCAAATAGGTTGTCGGGCTGCATTCCTTACCCTGCAGATACCTGCGGGTCGCACCCACACGTTTTCCACCGAAATTTGTGCTGGTTGTCAATCCAAGCGGAAATTTCAAGAAGAGACGGCGGGGCGGAAGAATCACCTCCGCGGGCTGTATGCTTGACACCCCTGCGTTTGACCAATCGCAGGCCTAATCATACTATCACGAACCATTTCAGAGAGGACGTGTAACACTAGACCGATTGGAGGCCTGTTTCAGAGGGATGTGGGACGTTAGGCCTATCTGGAGTTCCTCGAACCATCTCCAGTAGGTCTGAAGAGAGAATGCCTTCAAGAAGCATGGAATCCATGGTGCGCGCCATACCGATAATTCAGGGATGTCCGGATAGGATATCTGCATGTCCCAGCACATCGCTCGATAACTGCTAATTGCCGCTTCATTCTCAGCTCAACGCATGAACTCAACACAAAAATGTCTCGTATATTAAAAAGCAGATGATCCAGACGCCAATATGAAGGTTGAAACAGAGTCTGGCAAATTTCGGCACGGCATCTGGCAATACTGGGTGACGGTACCGGAGCACGCGTTCTAAGTCTAATTGAACGACAGATAATTTAATTTCTTATGGCGAAATGGGGCGTCGAAAAAAAACACCAAAAAAGCCACTTTTCGTCATCTACGAGGGAAGGAGTTGAAGAAAGGTAATGGGCGCTACCAAAGCCTATCGATCAAACCTAAACATGACCTCCTGCATGTTCTCGACACGACCTCATGCAACGGGATAGTTCATTCCCATGTTCTGCCAACATTAACCGCGATGCATGGCATTACTTTGAAGCGCTTAGAAGAGGTTTGGAGTTCGCTTCTGCATTTGTACAGGACTTGTGCTCCTCTACAGGGGACTTCGCCGTCGACTCCGGCCTGTCTGGGAGTACTCCACAGAGTACTACCTCAATCAATTGCCTCCTTTTGAGGCGTTTCCTTTTCACAATCAATCAGACTCATTGAAATGACTTGCCTTGAATTAAAATTCACTGGCGTGACATTCACAGGACAGATAAAACGAGACGAAACGCGTCTGCTCCCAACTAGAACAAAGAACCTATCGAAGCAACGCTTCACTTTTTGCTCGCAGGCTTTCAAGCCTATAGGGCCTAAAGCGATCCGCACCCCGTTTGAACACCTTCGTTCACAATTTCGAGGAGTCTTTCCAGGTTTTTAATAAGTTTAAACGAATGAATCGAGGAATTCCTGCGTTGTCTCCACCTTGTATGAGGGAAAAGATCAGGCACTACATGAAAAGTACCGGGCACTTCAAGCGAGACACTCCCTGAGACTACTGAAATATTTTATATTTACGCGTCATCTGGTTTCATTTATGAGAACCGTGTTTGTTTGAATAACCGAGATAGATGACTCGTCCGCAGATAAGGCAGATGGTAGCTGTCGCCCTAGCAACGAAATTGCGGCTACTTTGGCAGCTCAATGCCATGCCCGTCCACTCTGCCAACGTGGTCCCAACGTTGTGTAAACGTTGTGAAAGACGTCCTCTATTTTCGTGCACATATGATGGAAATAAGGAAGGAATCAAAAATACTTTCCATAAGCAAACGGGAATTTGAAACTTTTTTTCTTCTTTGTAGTGATGGCCCCTGCTTTAAAAAGTCCTTGTACTTAGCACTAAGGGAAGAATTGATGTATAGCACGGTTGCAGATAGCAACAATGAGCCAATCTGCTTGAGTGAAAGCAATAAACCTTGTTCTTTAAAAAATAAGGGTATCGATATTACAGCTGTTCAACTACAGAACATCTGTGAGGCGTGCTTCTCAGACTTTAAATTCCAGAACGCGAATGGTTGGCTGCAAGCCTCTCACGGCCGATCTGTTCATCACGCGAACTTCCACGGCCGGGAACGGGTAAAGGCTTCCTGGGATTCAGACTTTAAATTCCAGAACGCGAATGGTTGGCTGCAAGCCTCTCACGGCCGATCTCTTCATCACGCGAACTTCCACGGCCGGGAACGGGTAAAGGCTTCCTGGGGAGCAATCCAATTGAAGCGATGAGAAGATTTTACTCTTTCCACAGGGAGTATCGGAGAAAGTCGCGCGGAAGTGATTAAAAGACGAAACGTAATTTGAAAGGAAATCTCGAAATTAAATGGTGAAAGTTGAGGGGAAATTTTGTTCGTGTGCGGCTGGGGGACAAAAAAAGTCTCAAGCAAGCTTCGGGTGGTTCCACTCCTTTTTCATGCACTCATTGGACTGATCTGGCTTTGCAATCGGCTCTGAAGGGCGAAGGGGATCCCCGGGAAGCCAATCACAGTACCGGGATTTTGTGAAAAACACAGCAGTGAAATCCGATTCATGTTCCACCACAGCATTGCCTCTGCTTAGATCTATCCATTCCGTCATGGGTGTGAATGACTTGAAATGCCTGCTCGAGAAGTAGGACGACGCAGAGCCAGCGGCGTCCTTGGAACGAATCAAGGCCTCCTTCATCACTCCGCTTCTCGAGTGCGAGAGGCCAACACCCCAAAAGCACGTGCGACGTAATCTTCTGAATCCGTGAGCGTCGAGTAGAACAGCGTGATCGTTTTCTTTGTGCGGCCGATGCCTAGTCTAGTCTGACGAAAAGTACGTTCACTGTGATCGAACTACATGCAAAAGAGTGGCATGTGACAGTTTCTCGTTGCAACTGCACGCATTTTGTGCGTCATGCACACTTGCGAACCTCATATATCTATATTTCGAAGTTTGAATTATTTTCGCATCTGTGTTTGATTGGACCGTTTTTCCCGAGGCATGTGCAGGTCGAGGAAGAGAATTATAGTGCCAGAGGAAGTGCGTGCGGACCCCCGTCAATTGTCACTGTCTTGTGTGAATTATATTGCTTAAGGGGTTTAGTTCTAGCTTCTAGAGTTTTATTTTACACTGCAGAGAGTACCCTAAAAGTCAGTTACGAATCCCGATGATTTGCATGTCATTCACAGACGAGCGTGGCTCAAGAAACATGGCTACGGTTCAGTTTGAAGCCCTCGACCAGAATGACCCAATCGTCAGAAAAATGGAAAGTCAACATCTTTGGTACCGGAAATTCATAAAATCCATCCCGGATGGCTACGTCATGCCTGCATACTACTCGGAATTCCAGAAGACCAACACGTTCAAACCTCGAGATGATGACATCTGGATCGTCACATTTCCCCGATCAGGTTAGTCGCATGACGAACACGACCGGCTCGCCCAGTCCAGTAGAGGGCCTCCTTTCATTTAAGGAGTCCCTCATTTTTCCACCTACTCGAACAAAATGCCATCTCCTTCCGGTCCTCGACCATCAAAAATCTTATTTCTCAGTTAGATTTGGGAAATCTACCCATGGTGCTCATGAAATGATGGGGGGATGGAGGGTTGTGCGTGGCTCGATCCATCCGCTACGAGGGCTAGTAGAGAACTGACAGTCCTCGTCATAGAGAGTGTAACTAGACGCTCCACTTAGCTTGAATTCCATTCATTGACAGGGCCGCAATATAGATGTCGCTGTCGATCCTCCACCTAGCGGGTGCACATCGACAACTCTTACATGGCCGAGCAGTGGACGAGACGAGACACGCGTGTTACGTTGAGGGATCCCTTTGGGTCGAATCCCCGGATGAGTCGTTTCCCGATTCCGCCTGCCATGAAGCACGCCGCATGGAAGTGTTGTTGATGACAAGCCACCACGTCTTTGTAATATTTCGACCCTCCCCTACCCCTCGGAGTGTCGCCTCTAGATACACCTAGATACTCTAGATACGCCTCTATGGTCCTCGTTGGGGACACAGCGACGTACCGAAGGCCTGGCACCTTCGCGCGTGCGCATTATGGTTCAGATTCTAAATGGCTCGGGTGAACTCACGCCATTGAGGCAAATTCGCTGCAAAGTGAACTTGGCCTGTATCTTGTTCACACCTACCTGCTTGCCAATTTTCGCATTTGTCAGGCCGACTTTTCTTAGTTATCGTCGGACAGTGAAAGTGTGACACACTGACACACGGACACAGACGGACAGGACGGACCTTTCAGTGGTCGCTTTCCCTTCAAGAAAGGAGGCCAACTAAATTCCACAACTTGGGTTACTTTTAAGGAGTTTCTAGTGGGGAAGGTGGCGGCGCGTGGAAATATTCTCCTGTCAAATTACTAGGGCTGCTTATGAATTTAGAATTAAAATTATATTCTTCTCTCTACGTGGTGAATGAAAGATAATGAACCATTTCAGGTCAGTTTTGAGGATCTCTCTTGCTCGGTGATGGGAAAGTTATCATGAGTTTCAGTTACAGTTATTGAATTACTTTAGAATCTAATTCCCAATGAAAACTTTATTAGCGATGAGAATCATTTTCTTTTCCAAGGATAGATTTCAAAATTGCTTCTGAGCGTGCAAATTTTCGTCTTCAGCATGCGATATAATAGAGACAAATAGTGGGAAGGGAAATCCGCGCTCTTTGCTTTTATTCGGAATTGTGGGAGGAAAAAGAAGAAAAGGAGAAAATGGAAAAGAGGGGGGAAAAAGCGATACCGTTGCCAACGAAAATTTTACTTTTTCTCGATCTTCAGAAAATAATAATTCAGTGGCTTTGTTTCTCCACATCAATTTTAATTGTAATCCAGAATGAATGTCTTGAGTCGAAATCAATTAACCAAATCAATTAATCAATTAACGAAAGTGGAAACAAAGCAACAATCAGAAAGACAGATGAGGAGACAGACGTAAGAGAGAAGTAAGAAGGGACTCATGACTCATTCTTGACGAAAATCTCGGGTTCTCAACCAGCCGCGATCAAGGTCGAACTGGCTCACAGGGAGACTGGAAAATTTCCCATGGAGCCCCTTATACTACATTATGGGAATGGGGGTGAGGGGGGGGGGGGGAGGCCCTTGGTGAGCAATTTCCCGGAGGGCGCCCGGGTCGCCAGCCTGATCAAGGACATGCCATCAAATAACACTTCATCTTCTTCTTCCAATTTAGCAAGAAATCCCATAGCAATAAAAAATTCCACATCAGTCATGACATTAAGCCGCCTATTCACGTTTTTGACGAGGTGGCCCAACAATAAAAGGCCATATATATTTTTCCTTCGAAACAGAAAAAAGCTGAAATTTCTCATAAGGATTTTCCGGAATGGGGAACGAGAAAGTTTGAAATCCAAATGTGAATCAAACCTGTTGTTTTCATGTGCTGGACATTTTTAAATCTCACGATGAATAACTCGCAGCGTAATATTAACGTTAAATTTTAAGAATAGAACATTTTCGCGTGGGGAATTCAAGTTGAGCTGACTAACTTCAGTATTATCTTTTACGTTTCTCTGGTTGGAGTTACGTGTTCAACCTATCTTTCAATGATTAAGGTAATGTAAGACAAACCAGTGACTTCATGACTCCCTACCCAGTGGCATTCACTACGAGAGCATGTCTTAATAAACAGGAACAACATGGACTCAAGAATTGACCTGGTGTATCGTCAACATTGACAAGCTAGAAGATGCACGCAAGTTTCCCCTCTGGTTCCGAACTCCATTCTACGAGTAAGTCATTTTCCGCAAGCAATAAATATATTTTCAGAAATTCCATCTTTGTCCCTTTGTCGCTGCAAGTCTTCCCATTCAAACATAGGTGATTGTGACTGATCTCATGAAAACATATCATAACCTGTCAGCACAAGGTCGTAGAAAGGTCTGCAGAGCATTCCCCCGCCCTAAATTCAATTTCGTTATCTCACGCTTGGTTCGTACCGATATGCAGGTGGGACTGCCTGGTACCTCCAGATGGACTTCCGGATCTGTCGCAGCTGGTCATTCCATTTGACACCATCGAGGAGGCAGACAAGCACTTCCATAAGCACGGGAACATGCTTCCTCACCTGGAGAGCATACCTTCTCCCAGGGTCATCAAGACGCATTTGCCGGTTTCACTTCTGCCTCCCGAAGTGAGGAAAAATAAGGTAAAGAAAGAACGTCGCCGTTTCCGACTTTTTCCGTGCTGCTGCGTCCTAAGGTGTTTCTCCTTCTTGCATGAACTTTTCCATCGTGAAATAATCAAATTCTGGACTCATGTGGAGGAAAGAACTGTATTGCAAAGCGCCTCTGTTTTTAAATTTGAGATGTACGACTGGGATGAGCGATATGTACAATAGCGCTAATTTTAGGCAAGTTGGAGCGGATTCGACCAAGAGGAACAGGTGCGATTGCGATTGAATAGTTAGTTGATCGAGTTGGAGGCAAAAGTTGGCATTCTTTTTAATAAACGGAGGCCATGAGTTGTTGATTCCCGCACGAGAAGAACTAAAGAATGTCCCTCCGCCAAAAATCGAATCAAATAGCAGAGACTTGAATTTCTCCTCGAAATTTCCTCTCGATTTTCCAGATCATCTACGTGTCGAGGAACCCGAAGGACTCCTGGATCTCCTACTACTCTTTGTTTCATACTTTCGACAGTTTCACGGGGACGCTCGATGATTTCATCGAACAGAACATTCACGGAATCTGTGAGAAGGGCTTCGTTGCCGTCGTAGTCTTTGGGAAAAAGCTTTCGCTTTTAAATAATTGATCTCTTTTGAGACAGGATGCGTTTCGATGATTTCAAGAATCCTTTGGGAAAAAAATTAGATAGGGGGGGAGGGACAAAACAGAGTAAGAACAACACCGCAAATGCAAATTGCAAGGGGGCAAAACAACTAGAACCACGAATCCCTTGAGAACCTTACGCTGTCATAGGCAGATGTGCTGAAATGGCGAAGATTGAGCATTCATAAAAATTTTTCATATATATATACAGTATAACATTTTCATTGAACCATGTGGGAGCGGTTGCATGAAATTGAGACTGCCAGGTCCACTCTCTGTTGCAAGTTGCTCAGGCTCCTCACTGGTTTTACGGAATAAAACTGAAACTAAAGCCATATTGGTCCCATAGGCATGTGGGGTCCGCATTGGAAACATGTTCGGGAACACTGGGAAATGAGGAATGAGCCGAATGTCTGCTTCCTCACTTTCGAATCCCTGAAAAAGGTTAGTCCAACGGGACCATTGCTTTTCTCTCTCAGCTTCAAATTGAGTATTTCTGTGAAATTTCGAAATTTCCGCTTTTGACGATCGAGAGAAAATATTAGAGTAGATGCAAACCTTTTGACCAATTGTTATGCCCTCCATATCGGAATATTGAAAACCCCTAGAAGCGGATTTGTATTGACGGCCACGAATCCCTACCGACAGAACGCGATCGAGGAGATCGAGAGGCTAGCCCGATTCCTTGGGAAGGACCTGACCCAGGAACAGACGAAGGCCGTAGAGGAAGAGGCCTCGATCGAGCGAATGAGGGAAAAGTCCCCCGTGACCGGCCCCAACTACAGGTGGAAGCACCTGAACCCCCCTCGCGATCCGTCCGATTCCTTCATTCGAGGCGGGCGAGTCGGCGGCTGGCGGAACGTGCTCGACGAGGACCAAGTCGAGAAGATCGACAAATACATCAGGGAATACTTGGAGGAGACCGGACTCTTCGATTCTCAGACGTGATCTATCGGTGACTGCTCTGCGGTCGAATGTCTTTTTTTGTCCGAAAGGGAGTGGCTTCGAGTTGCTGTCCGAATTTTCGAACGTGCCTTTTCATGTGTATCGCATCTCATAGTATCTAAAAAGGAACTCTGTGGAAAACTTTCTCGCAAAATCTTCCCTCGCAGGGATTTATATGTAACACGCATCCTCGGAAAAAGTTTTCGCGCATTTTTTTAGTGCATTTCAAGTGATTTTCACTTTATTATTAATTTAATTGAAAATAGTGCTGGTTTTTGCATAGCTTTCCATGACACATAAATGGAGTCTACTGCCAAAAATCTCATTAAATTGTATCACCTCTATCGCAAAAGGATCATTGATAATGCCAGGATTAACACTTCAGAAATGTGAACACTGAAGTGCTAAAACCACCATTGGAGAGACGTTCCTCTTGAAAGAAATTCTTCCTGGTAGATCGGCTGACGTGATTGCAAACAATAATGGAGTAAGCTTTTAAAAAAATCATTAACTGCAAGTACTTCGACCGTGAATGGTCCATCATTTAATGAATGTTGGGAAGTTCACAGCGTTTAATCAATGTTAATGAAACATGGATGTAACAACATTTATAAATTCAATCCACACCTTGTCAATAAGGACTCAACGCCTCATTCCAAACGCGTCGGCGTCTATGTCGGGAATGAAAATGCCAGATTTGTTCCGATTTTGAACTCTTGCCTTACGTCACGTAAGCCCAACTTGCTATCAGGCGAGTCACTGAACCCGAACTTTGCGGATTTAACTCGATGGTGGCCCACCAAGTTTCCGTTACAACACCACAAAAGTGTGACGCAGAACCCTCCGAGATGTAAAGTTTTCTATCGATGGTGCTTTCCTTCTTATCCAATGCAAGAGGGAAGAGTTCCTCCACTGAGAGCATCTAGAAGCGCCCAAATTTCTTTTCCAATATCTCCAAGGTGGAAAGATGAAATGAACTTTCACCAGTAGCCAGTGATATTGAATCAACATTATTTAAATGCTGATTCAACGTCTGGATAATAATTCATTGTTAGGTGCTACTACTGTAGGGTGACCGATGAAGTCAGGGGGCTTGATACCATCCTTAAAAGCAAATACTTTTTTTTTCTTCAAAATATCACCCAGGTGGCCTTTGTGATCCATCAGTCCCAGGGCCACTAAACTCCGTCGTCCAGGCGCCCCACCTCTAGGAAACAATGTTTTTGCAGTCCAGGGTTACAAGACTGCCCTCGGTTTCCTAGGAGACAGTGACTACAAAATTTCACAATACTTCGCAACATAAAAATTGGAGGCTTTTTATGACCAACTGCACCAATCGAGTTGTACCTGGCCTACGACCTACCATATCCTCGCGGAATTCGATTCATTGGAGTACATGGACCATTTGGACTCCGGTACCAAAGAGCGTATACATCAGTCACCACCATGATTCAAGTACTACAGCTACTCCACTCATTACTACTTCGAAGCTCGGACCTGCATGACCCAATATGTCGGCGCACCTTTCGGCTCCCCGGGCTTCCTACCTACTATCTAGCTCCCTCCCTACCTACCTCCTATACTTCTTCAGTCCATGTATGTTTGTATGTGAGGTTTCTTTATAATGCCTGCCGCTGGCAGCGTTTGTGCGGGTAGCTGAGGTCGTCACCCTTAACTTACTGTTCGCATTCCAATTTTAACTCCTACCAACGCGAAATTGTTTTTGATGAATTTCGGCTTCAACAGAGGTCGAACCCAGTACGCGTTTGAATGCTAGTGTGGTTCGTTGAATGCCCCTCTCTCCCATTGTAGTGTTAGGGATGAGAAAGAAAGGAATATATTGAGTTTCGTGGCGTAGTGGTAACACGTTTTCTTAAGAATCAGGAAGTCTATGGTTTGGTTCCCAGTTCCCTATTTGTTTTAGTTTTCTTATGCTACCCGAACTCTTCCCCACCTCCTTCGAGCTATTTGTGGAAAAAAATCCCGATTTGCAATTCCACGGCTTCGCAGAAGTTTCTCCGACCGGCATGTTTGGTGAGCTCATTATCGATTCCACTACATTTTCAGTCGTGATATCGGCATGGTAAGAATAGTAGCACGGGCTTTTTTTGTTCCATATTCCACCCTCGCAATTAACGGTCTTGGATCGGAACTCTAGAATATGTGATTTGTTTGTAACTGTTCGTACAGATCTTATAATCTAATATTCTTCCATTATCCTATAGGATAATGGAAGGCCAGAAAAGAACAGATATGGAGGAACTGACGTGTCATCTTCGCGTCTTGGGGGGGAATGATTCACACCTATTGACTCAAGGAGAGGGAATGCAGCAAGAGCGCACTGATGTCATCAGTCCCCCTCTACGTCCTGTGAGTTCTCCATCTCATGAGTCCCTGCCATACTGCATGCTCATTGTTGAGTTTCGTGGCGTAGTGGTAACACGTTTTCTTAAGAATCAGGAAGTCTATGGTTTGGTTCCCAGTTCCCTATTTGTTTTAGTTTTCTTATGCTACCCGAACTCTTCCCCACCTCCTTCGAGCTATTACGTTCCAGAGAATAGATACGACAAAATCGGAAGATCGGAAAGTCCGGAAAAAAAGTGCTCGTCTGCGAGAGGGAAACGTAGACCCTTTGGCAGGCAGAAGGCGCCGCACATGCGCACATGCACACAGACCCAAACGTCGGAGGCTTCATACGCACGAACGCAGCTTCATTCGTTTTTATAATATATAGGATGGGACACACCGGTCCAGCCTCACGAATGCAATTACTTTCATTAGTGAAGTAAATGCCTAGATTTGAACATGTCCAAGTCACTCGATTAATTGGCTATAAAAATATATATATACAAATGATTTTTTTTATATTGAATCTCCTTTTTCTAATTTTACATTTGTATTGGGACAATTCCAGCATGTCAGATGCCATGACTTTTTTTCCTTTTTGCTTGTTTCCATAAGGCCGTCGTCATTTCAGCCACCTTCTTATCTGCTCCAAATCAAGCATTTTTCGTGATCGTAATGTATTCTGGGCAATTGACTAAACTATTCCACGAACCATGATGAAGTGCACACAAAAAATATTGACAGGAGATAAAAAATAGGGATTTTTTTTTACTGCAAAAGAATCCATTGACTGTAGGCAGATTTAATGTTGACACTTCCACAGTGAATAGTGCAGCATTGATTCAAAGTTGATTCAACATAGAAGTATAAACCTTCAACAGTAAAACATTTGATCCACATCAAATCGACGTTGAATCAATGTTATGTGCTACCTGGGGTGAGAACACTCAACACCAACTTCTTGCTGCACTAACTTAAAGATGTTGAATCAACATTGAATCAATGTTGTTTCAATGTTATGTGCCACTAGGGAATAAGCATTTCCATCTCCTTCGACGACCTTCATCCACTCTTTATATACACCTCGAAATGCCATTCACCAACTAATACTTCGTGATTTTGAAGGTGGTTCAAATGAGCACGAAACTATTTCAGTTGAGAAGAGATCGCGCTAAGTTAACATTTGGACTCATCCATAGGAATTACATTTGCCAATATTACATGAGGTAAAATCATCCCAGGTATTTCAAAAAGTTATCACTCTTAAATAACTGCACACACCAAAAGTTCTAGTAATGAAATAGTACACCTAATGCTTATTCGGGTAAGGAGACACTTCACTAACTCGAACAGGGCGCGTCAGTGTAGAGACTGACTTGTGGTCATGATGGCTACCGAGCCACATGGGGAATAGCATAATTCCAACGCGTCTCACAAGAATAACAAAGACAAGCGCGAAGGTGCGAGGGGGAACTTTCCTCAGGTTTAACCAGAATTTCACCTTTGGGTCGTATTTCAGATAAATATGAATTCGACACGGTTAGTGTGACTGAGAAGATCCTACTATCAAATTTTCAATGTAAAATTTCCTTCCCTTGTCCGTGCAATCATACACATCGATTAACGGGGATAAAGAATGGAATTCGTGTAGAAAGACTGCAAGATCCTGCATGATTAAAAATTCCCATTTCCTCTCCACTTGGGACCTTTAAACTTTAGCTGAATGCAGCACTCAGGTATTGCAGCACTGTCGTGACTTCATGGAGTTTCAACACCCACTGTTGCCGGTAAATTTCTGCACCTCACCGGTGAATCAACGTTGATTCATCGGTGAATCATCGGTGAGATTTTTTGTACGGGTTGCAGGTCAGAGCAATTAGTCAATCTGCTTCAGTAAAATAAAAAAATCTGGCTCTTGAAAAAAAGGGCTTCAACACAGTCGTTGAATTTCATCTGGGAAGATGATGAATTCAATGGTTCAATTGGTTGACTTGCAGGCCTCTCATGGCCAAACTTCATCACGCGAAATGTCACAGTCGGGGATGGGAAGCAAAGAAAAATAAAGCGGCATCAAAATATTTTACTTTTTCCACTGGGAGAAAGTCTCGCGGAAAAAATCCAAAGACGAAACGAAAATTGAAGAGAAGAGTGGAAATTGAAATAGTTGAAGTTGAAGTTTAAAAGAAAGTAAGATCGTATGAGGTTAGGAGACCAAAACCAGTCCCAATGAATCCTTGGGCGATTCCACTACTTTTCATGCATTCATTTATCTAAACTGGTTTTGCCTTCGGTTCAGAAGGGCGAAAGGGATCCCCGGGAAGCCAATCATAGTACCAGGATTATTTTTTTCACGGTAATAAAAAACGCACAAAAAAACACGCACCGCAATTGCATGAAATGATGCCCCATCGCAGCATTGGCTCCGCGTAGATCTATCCATATCGTCATGGGTGTGAATGCCTTGAAATGCCTGCTCGAGAAGTAGGACGACGCAGAGGCATCGGAGTCCTCGGAACGAGTCAAGGCCGCACTCATCACTTAGGGTCTCGAGCTCGAGAGGCCAACACCCCAAAAAGGACGTGCGACGCAATCTTTTGAACCCGTGAACGTAGGATAGAACAGCGTGATCGCTTCCTTTGTACATCGTAAGTAAATCGACAGTTGTTGGATTTCATGCGTGAGTGAGGCATGTGACAGTTTCTCGCTGCTACTATAAGCATTTTGTGCGTCATGCGCACTTGCGAACATCATCCATCCTTAGTTGGACATCTGAAAGTATTTACCGTGCTTGTTTGAATGTACAGTGTTTCCCGATTCATGTGTGAATCAAGGAATATAATTATAGTGGCCAAAAAAATAGCGCGAATACATGTGCGGACCTCGTCAATTCTCACTTTCTTGTATGAATTATAGTGCTCCAATTGTAGCTTCAAGAGATTTTATTACGCTGCAGAGAGTACTCTTGAAGACAGTTACGAATCCCGGTGATTTGCATGTCATTCACAGAACGAGAGTGGCTCAAGAAACATGGCTACGGTTCCGTTTGAAGCTCTCGACCAGAATGACCCAATCGTCAGAAAAATGGAAAGTCAACATCTTTGGTTCCAGAAATTCATAAAATCCATCCCGGATGGCTACGTCATGCCTGCATACTACTCGGAGTTTCAGAAGACCAACACGTTCAAACCTCGAGAGGATGACATCTGGATCGTCACATTTCCCCGATCAGGTTAGTCGCTAAAAATCAACAATATGGGTTTCTTTTAAGGAGTTTCTGGTGTGGACGGTGCCAGCACGTGGAAATATTCACCAAACAAATTACGAATGCTGCTTAGGAATTTAGAAATGAAATTATTTTGTTTTCTGTACATGGTGAATGAGTGATATACCATATCAAGTGAATTTTGAGGATTACTCCTGTTCATTGATGCGCGAATTACCATGAAATGCAGTTGCAGTTTTTAAGTTACTTTACAAACTGCTTCCTGATAACAACTTATTTGTTGACAAACATCATTTGCATTGAACGACAAGTTTGCTGTAGTGTACCTGAAATGATCTACAGAAAATCACTAAATGTAATTAGCAGTTGACTAATGCTGTAATGCAGTTGACTAATGCTGTTTGTAATCCGTAATGCTTTTAGAATATTTGGCAATGGCGGACCTTTATCTCGGATAAATTACAGAATAGCCTTCGTCTTCCACTAGCGGTATAACTGGGACAAATAGTAGGATGGGAAATCCGTGGTCTCTGCATTTATTCAAAATTTTTGGTAAGAAAGAGGATAAAGTAACGAAATGGGGAAAAAGTGATTCCGTCCCCAGCTTAAGTGCTGTTTTTTTCCTGATGTTCAGAAAAGAAAAAAATAGTTACTTTGTTTCTCCACATTAATTGTATTTGTACTCCAGGACAAATGTCTTGCGTTGAAATCAGTTAGAGTAATAGGGAAGAAAGCGACGATTAGAGAGAACTGTAAGGGAGGATGAGGAGACAGACGTAAGGGACAAGTAAGAAGGGACTCATGACCCATTCTTGACAAAAATCTCGGATTTTCAACCAGCCATGATCAGGGTAGAACTGGTCCACTGGGATATCAGAAAATTTCCCATGGAGCCCCATGATCTATATTATGGGGATGGGGGGGGGGGGGAAGTTCGGAGGCCTTTGATGAGCAATTTCTCGGAAGGCATGAGTCCGACCATGGCCATGGCATCAATAACACATCAAAGTCATCGAATTTAGCAAAAAATCCCATTCCAAGAAAAAATTCACATCATATGCACTTTGCAGTCATGAGTTAAGCTGCTTATTAACGTTTTGACAAGGGGGTCAGCATTAAAAGGGCAAAAAACTATTCATTCAAGCGGAAAAAATCTGGAATCGTCACATCAGGTTTATCCGGAATAAGAAACTAAGATATGTGAAATCGAAGTGTGAAACTGACCGGTTGTTTTCAAGTACTAGACATTTTATCTCATGATGAATGTTTCGCAGCAAACACGAAAGCTAATTTTAAATTATAGAAATTTTTCATGTAGGAAATTAAAGTTGAGCAGACTAACATCAGTATATTCTTTTTTCTCTAACTTGAGTCAAACCTTCTCCCCATCCATCCACGATTAGGGCAATGTAAGACGGTCCAATAACTTCTGAATTTATAACCTAGTGGGATTTCACTATGAGAGCATGTCTTAATAAACAGGAACAACATGGACTCAAGAATTGACCTGGTGTATAGTCAATATTGATAAGATAGAAGATGCACGCAAGTTGCCCCTCTGGTTCAGAACTCCATTCTACGAGTAAGTTATTTCCGCAATCTATATATATATGTTTACAGGAATTCCAATATTGTAAGTTCAAGACCTCCAGTTCAAGCAAAGGTGATATAATTGATCTTTTGACGAGACTTGTCATTGCCAGTCAACGCAAGGTCGTAAAAAGGTCTGCAGAGCAAGCCCCCCTGAATTTAAATATATTATTTCACGCTTGGCTTTGCATCGATATGCAGGTGGGACTGCCTGGTACCTCCAGATGGACTTCCAGATCTGTCGCAGCTGGTCATTCCATTCGACACCATCGAGGAGGCAGACAAGCACTTCCAGAAACCCGGGAACATGGTTCCTCACCTGGAAAGCTTACCTTCTCCCAGAGTTATCAAGACGCATTTACCAATTTCACTATTGCCTCCAGAAGTCAGGAAAAATAAGTTAAAGAAAGATCGTCGCCTTTTCCGACTTTACAAAAGCTGATTCATTCTCTGGTGTTCCTTCGTGCATGAAAACCATTGTGAAATATTCAAATTCAGGACTCATGCGGAGAAAGGAGTTGTATTATGTGAGCGCCTCTGTTTATAACTTGACGGATGTACGGATGGGATCAGCGATATGCACAATTTTTATACTTTAGGGTAGGCTGGAACAAAGTCATTAATTTTTAGTAAATGGAGACTATGAGTGGTTGAATCCAGCACGAGAGGAATTAAAGAATGCCTTGTCTTTTTTCACGATTTTGAAATGACTTACGGACTTGTAATGGTGCGGAAAATCAAATCAAAGGGGAGAGACCTGAATTTCTCCTCGATGCTTGGGAATTAGTATTTCTGCTGATGAAGATCTGTAAAAATTTGGTCCACCGTTCTTCAATGCCATCCTCGCCAAAATCTATCGCTGATACTCATAATCAAAGATAATCCTAAGAAATACTCATGAGAGATAGTCACAAGAGATAATTATCAGACAGCGGATTGATGGGAATGTTCTCAAGTTTTGAGGAAGTCGAGATTAAAAGAAATTCTAAAAAATAATGAAAGAATGAATTCTCGTTTTCAGGTTTTTAACAATATTTACGTTTCTCCATGGAAAGTAAACTCTCTAGATGTGATATTTCCTCTTGCTTTCTTTCAGATTATCTACGTGTCGAGGAACCCGAAGGACTCCTGGATCTCCTACTACTCTTTGTTTCATACTTTCGACAGTTTCACGGGGACGCTCGATGATTTCATCGAGCAGAGCATTCACGGAATCAGTGAGAAGCGCTTCGTTGTTTTCCTACCCCTTGGAAAAGAGCTCGCAATGGATGGTTTTGAAATTGATCATTGTTCTATTTTAAAAGAGGATACGTTTCGATGATATCAGGAATCCTTCAAATCAAGAACTTCAAGAATCCTTTGAGAAAAAATTATATTGGGGGGAGGACGTTACAGAGAAAAAACAACACCGCAAATGCGAATTGGAAGGCGGCCAAAACGACTAAAAACACGAATCCCTTGACAACCTTGCGCAGTCATACGCAGATGTGCTCGAATGTCGAAGATTGTGCGTATATCAAGAGTTTTTCATTGAACCATCTGGGAGCGGTTGCATGAAATTGAGACTGCCAGGTGCATTCGCCGTTGAAAGTGGTTCAGGCTCCTTTTTCCTTTCCCCCTAATCGTCAACTGTTTTTACTTGAACAGAATCAAACTAAAAGTAAAGCCATGTTCGTCCTGTAGGCGTGTGGGGTCCGCATTGGAAACATGTTCGAGAACACTGGGAAATGAGGAATGAGCCGAATGTCTGCTTCCTCACTTTCGAATCCCTGAAAAAGGTTAGTCCCACAGACCAACGTTTTCCTTTCTCTACTTCAAATAACGCATTTTTGTGCACTACTCGAAATTTCCGCTTTTGACAACCGAGAGAAAATATAATAGAAGATTCAAACCTTTTGACCAGTTGCTATGACTTCCATATCGGCAAATTGAAAGCCCCTAG